AGTCTAAATGCATAACTCACACTGTTCACACACTCACATTGCAGTAACAGCATGCTACACATGATGCAATATCCTAAACAGTCTACAAAATATGGAAATTGAATTCAAAATCATTATTAATTCACAACACAGTAACTTAGACCCATTATATGCTATTAGTATCACAGCTAGGAGAGTTTTGACTTTGTATTGTATGCTTTTACAGTATGTTTAAAATATATTTTAATCAATAAAAGAAAAAAATCTTTAATTATTTTTTTTTTTAAACTGGAAAATTGTTGGTGTGCTACTGTTTGAGATTTTCAGTTTATCAATAATATAATTATCAAATAATGAATTTGACAGTGAAACATTGACTAAAATTAGGAGATTTTTTCAAACTGTGAATAAAAAATGTGTCACTGAAACATAAGCTGGTCTAAACTGGTCTGAGAGTTTTTCCTATCATGGCAGTTGTTACATTGATTAGGAGGGAGTCAAGTGTATACGCCTACGAGTTCTTGTCAAAGTGCTCCCAACCGAGTCTTAAAGTGAGTTTAGGAGCCAGTTGGGGGCACTTAAGACTGATTTGGGATGCCTGCAGTTAGTCTTTCCACCTGTGATTACCACTGGAGCGCCTTAATGGGAATTTTGCTGAAAAGTAACAGTTTAATTAAAGACCACATGTTTCTGTAATGAAAAGGGAACGTGCTGAGAGAACATCAGCAAGATTGGAAATCTCTCACATAACTTCTTCTAATACACTCTCACGCAATCCAATCCAGCATATGTATGGCCAATCAGAAATTCATTCATCCCACACATTAACACCCCTGGAAGTTAAGACCATCAGCATGATTAACGATCATTTTCTATCAATAAACAGCTGAATGATGGTTGATTGCTGCTCTGTTCTGAAGTATAAAATCTGGCCGTAGGTGAAACAGATTGAGCCGTTTAAAATATTTAATTGCGAAACAGAACAGCAAGTGAACGGAGATATTCTTGGTGAACACAGCTGGGAGCAGATGAATGGAGCATATGTGTAGATGTTTCTCAGATTGCATGTATACATGCGCTCCTTACATGTGATCACGACATAAGAAACATTCTCCTGAGAGCAACCGTGAAAGACTAACATGTGATTTGAGATGCATTTAAAGATCATGTTGCCACATTCCTACAACCTTGAGCCACCAGAGATCAATCAAAGTGTTTGGTTTAGGTCTAGCACAATGCAAATTTAAGATCAGTAACCGACATGTCAGTTTTGTTTTAAATACACATTTCCAACTACATTTCCCGATGGAAATCTGCATTAAAATTCTTCACTACGAACAAATTGTGCCCACTGATAATTCTGAACGATGACTAAAAGTCCTCTACTGCCTCTTTTCCGGCTCACAACCCTTTTTAATAATTGAATCGGTTGAAAAGAACATACATTTTAGTTAACCAATTTTGTCGCTGAAAGAGAATTTTCTAAACTGATATTAATGTTTAATTACTTTGCAGTTTGTGGAATTTCTCTTAAATATATGGAATCGATGAAATAAAACCACTGTTGCCTGTGGTCAAAGTATATGGCTGCACATTTGAGTTGGGGAATACATTTGATTGTTATTTTGATTGTTAAGGTAATTGCGACTTTTTATCTCACAATTTTGACTTTTTTCTCAGAATTGCGAGTTTATATCTCGCAATTCTGACTTTTTTCTCATAACTGTGAGATATAAACCTTCAACTGCAAGTTATAAGGTCCAGTTCTGAGGGGGAAACAATATTTTTTTCAGAATCGCAAGTTTATTGCAAGTTTTTATCTCACAATTCAGATTTTTTTTTTGACATGTAAACTCGCTTTTCTGAGTTTATATTGCACAATTCTGATTAAAAAGTAGGAATGGCGAGTTTATATCTCACAATTCTGACTGTATAACTCCAAGGAATGGTGAGTTTTTGTATCATGCAATTTTGAGTAAAAAAAGTCAGAATTGTGAGATAAAAATTCACAATGACCTTTATCTCAAAATATCTCAAAATTATAAATTGACTTAAGAAACAAAACCACATGAAACATTTAGATTTTGTCTAAAAAAAGTATCTTTAATAAGAATGTATTTTGTCTCACCGCACATAAGTAAGTTTAAACGTGAAAAATCTGCCAGTGCAGTAAAACTAAATTAAATGCACTTATGTTTATGAAACAATATATGAAAACAAGTAAACAAGAACAAGAAAATATATTATATAACAAAAACATATATCTATACACACACACACACACACACACACACACACATAAAGTTAATCTCTCTCTATCTCTCTCTCTCTCTCTCTATATATATATCTACTGTATATATATATGATTTAAGTGTTGTTAGCACAATATTATACAGCTAAAATCAGCTTTTTAAAATTACTACTCTTTCTTTTAAAAAAAGTAATATAATAATATAGACTGTTTAAATTACCTGATTGTTTTAACATACTTTACCTTCACAATTGCCTGAGTGTAAAATAAGCTATCTTCAGGCCCACCAAAGGCCAGGATATGATACGGCTCGCTAGAGGAACAGGAAGTTTGTAGACAGCCCTCGTCCTGTGTGGCCTATACTGGCTTTGAGGAGACAGTAGAAATGATTCACAGGGCAGCACATCAGTCGAGCATACAGCAGAGAGCTGGCCGGAGCCGAGTGCCTCGTTCTCCTGGTCGTTATCATGAAAGAGACAGACCCTTCTTGTATGCCTTAGCCCAGCGATCCTGGCAACTGTTGCTTTAGAAATGTCCCAAGATTCCATCCTGCCCTGAATCTCAGCCTGTGGAATAGAGAATGTTGAGACAATGATGTCACAAGGGAAATAACGGAACCTTGAAGAGCAGCCGAGCAGAATTATTTTGAATTGCACTGGAATCAGGTCACACTTGCGCTTTCTGTCACCTACCTGTGCACAATTTTAATGCAACCACCGAAGCACTTGCCAGTAGGGGATGGATGAATTGAGAGGGTTGGTTGTTAGTTAAGCATTATAGCTGCCTTGAGAGTTCAGATATGGCTCAGTACTGGACAATCGGCGAAGGTTACCGTCACTGAAGCTCCCAGTGAAGGCTTTGAATAGATTCTGAAGGTGAGAACAGGAATTAGTGAACAAAGGAAGGGACAGAGCCAGAGCCAACGTTCTTCGAAAGCATAGTGTAGACCGAATGACATAAAAAAAAGAAAGAATTGATTTGAAAGACAGAATAATTACTAAGAATAATATTTGAATACAAAAAGCACAAATGAGTGCAAAGAAGTAAATAAAACAAAATTTTTATATATAAATAAACAAACCAGTATATGGTGTTTGGTGACAATGACATCTATCTTTAAAGTTCTTATACTATATGAATGATTTCTGTTTAAAAATGGAATATGATGCAATCTAACTTTAAACCGACTCTTCATCTCGTCACATAGTTGCTGCTGATGTGTCCTTCAATGAGAATAGAGGCCACAGGTGTCACCAACTTGATCTCATGATGAAAGCGTACCTGTGGGAGCTTTTTCGCAAGATGCAAAATACGTACCAATAAGTACATACAGTATAACTGCAGTTTCCAACAGAAATGAATACTAGAGGAGGTAAAACAGCGAGCACTTTTAATCGTTTTTGTACACAGTCATGATTACAGCTCCACACAGTATGTTTCTCTTTCCGGACGTAACAAGCTTGCTCGGTAGCTCAGCCGGCATGGAGTTGGACTTAGGTTGCGAAATCCTTGGATACGAATCCCATGAAAAACATGACTCATGATGAAAGAGCTGAAAGATGAGAGATCTAAAAACAAGCTAAAACGGCATGCTTGTGTTTGTGTTTTTACGTCACATTCACTTTTGTTCGTACTATCGGGTAGGTTTAGGTGTAGTAAAACGTCACGGAGCATTAGAGTTATAGCGCCACTCAATGGACATTAACGTTGAATATGTCACGAAACGTACATGGCGCTATGTATTTCATGTCTTGTAAGAAAGTTCCCACAGATACGTTTTCATCATGAGATCAGGCTCGGTGTCGCACATAAACTGAATAGATGTTGTCAGGTTTGCGGGGTTTAACTTTCGCCGTCTTTGTTTGTCTACTGCAGCGGTAATCTGCTTGGACTCAAGGGAATGTATACTGTCTATTACCTGTCTATGCCCTCATTCGTAATTGACCCTTCGGACTCGGAGGGAGCTTGATTGACAGGTAATCTGACCAATCATAATGCAGAATCCACCATTTTGTCCGACAAACAAATCAGACAGTAGAGTAGATTAACTTCAGTGGACTGAAACTTGAAAAATGGAGTGTATTGACATCTTTCTATGGTTGAAATTTTCTGATGTTCATTCATGTTTATTTCATGTTTTAAGTAAATATGAAAAGATGATCGGTTCATGTGCCACTTGTGAACTGAGGCACTACAGTGACGGGCGGGTTTTTGCGAAGGGTCAATTGAACATGTAGACCTACATTTATGTAGGCTATTGATTCAGATCATTGCTGTGTTAATAGTGAAAGTGTTGCAGAAATGCTAGAAACCGTTCTGTTCACTTACACTAATGTGATCTAGCTGTAATCGCTTTCAAATGAGGATTTTCTCATTTTAATTGACTGTGAAAAGTGTTTGCCTCAATTTCAATTTGCAGTCTTTGCATTTTTTTAATCACTTTAATGCATAATTTAAACATTTATTTACAGAAAATGGTTAAAAATACTTTGCAATGTCCTAATTCTTTCCAGAAATTTAGCTTCAGCACTTTAGGAGCACGGTTTACTAAAAATCGCACTCTTCGCTGAAATCTCAAGTTCATTAATTTCCTCAAGATACGTTATGCCAGGTATCTAAGACTTGAAGACAAACGACTTGAATTAGTGAGACATGACTTGGACCGAATGCAAAACACTGGCCTGGGTTCATGTCTGGTTTGTATTACTCACCCTTATTTGCCAAGTGCCCTGCTGAGAAACTGATGGCGTACAATCCCGTCTCTTTTTAGGGCCCTGACGGAACTGCTCAAACAGCCAGGTGAGCCCGGGGGTGTGGACAGAGGAGGAGGCCACCACCATATCAGATCCAACGGCATCTCTGGCAGGTCAATGCGCACCAACAACGGTGAGTCAGAGGTCCAGCGTCTCTGCTGAGCTGAATCTCAGGCACTCACGGATATAATGAACGTCAAAGAAAATATAATGAACGTCAAACATTCAGAGTTGAGGTAAAAAGGAGCCTTGACAGGTTGCTTGCATTTGTATTTCAATTGCCAATATGTGAGGCCTGGAGATTTTGGCACATGAATGTGAAGTATTGATCTTATAACTGTTTAAATATGTATGTTACAAATACTTTCTATAGCCCAGTTTAATATGCAGTGACAACTTCACCTGTAGTTGATTTTGATACTGTGGCACTTTCAAAACATTGCTGTTTGTTTGAGCAGCCTTGCATGGTATCACTGGCTCAACTAATGGTGCCATTTTCGGGGAGGGACTATCCGGTTGACTGACCAATTAAAACCCCTAACCAGTGATGTTGTTGCTTACTAAAGCTACAATTATTTTCTGTAATTGAAATAAAGCTGAGAGAAAATAAAAATTAAATAAAAATATTAGATGTCAGATGTCTTGGCATTCAAGTTGAAGGACTAAAACTACTTAAAAAAAAACCTAATTAAATAAATATTACAATTAAACCTAATAGAAATGACAAAATTACATAAAATTAAAATAAAAAACAAAAACAAAAATATAAGCTGATTCAATAAATACTATAATAGTATATAAATAAAAAATCAGCATGAAATAAATATAAATAAAAAATCCTCAGAATTTTTTCCCCAGTACAAATATCAAAGCATTAATAAATCAACATACAATTACTTGAGTGACATAAATCTTTTTTTTATTTATTATATATATTTTTTTATGTATTACAATTAAGGGATTTTACACTTAAAACCGGGAAAAAAATGTCTGGCGATAGGGTAAGAAACCCTACTTTATTTTTATTTTTATTATTATTATTTTTTGTTTTACCCCATTGACAAATTTATTTTCCTCGTCGTATTTAAGCGTCATTTAATTTTGACAATTTTGCGGACAGCAATATTTTTACTTTTAAGCTCAAGTTTTAGTAATTTGATTCTGTGCTTTTGTCATTTTTATTAGTTTTTAAAAACCTTTATCCATTAATAATTTTTTTCCTGAGGAAAAAAAAAATTGCAGTATAAAATACCACTGCCCTTAACACTCTGCCATGCAACTCAATCTGAAATGTGCTGCGGGCACGGATTGTACAGTCTTGATGAGGAGAGGTGTACTTTTACTTTTATGCAATCAGACTTTCACCTTGGAGAAAAAGGGTGAAAAAAATCATAAAGATGGAGAGAACTGTCTGTAACAGAACCTAAAGTGCTTATCTCCCCCAGAGCACCCTGATAATCAAACAGCAACACCTTTTAATCATGACAATGACTTTTATTTTTATAATCCTGTTTGGTGACACCAGAGTTGCAGCAATTACAGTACACTTGAAAGCTTTAAGATGACTTTGGTTTGCTTGAATAAACGGCTGTTTGTTTTTTTTGCTATTTATTTAGCTATGTCATCATTCAGTACATCAACATTCTCTTTGCAGTCAAAACTAAAGTTCTTGTGCAATAACGACCCATTAAATGTTCCATAGATACACATCGGCCGACAACATTATTGATAAAATCTCAGCAAACACAATGAGGCTTAAAGGCCATCACCTTTTGACCCTGTGAGGGTAATGAACTGGAACGAGGGAGTAATTAAATTTGCGGATATGAGCGGTCATTCTGCTGCTCCCTATCAGCCTTGGAAGAGGAAGTGGCTTAACAAAGCAACTGTGCTAATTAAGGCATAATTAAGAAACTTCAGCCAAGACCTGCTGATCAAGAACACACTGTCCTTCTTTCTAAGAATTAGGGACCCATTTATCTCTCCATCTCACGCACGCACTTCATCACAGGTGTGAGTTTTCCTTAGGAGTGTGAGAATTTCCACTGTGCCAGTGTTTCTGCCCGTACTTCTTTTAACTTCTTCCTCTTCTAAATCCACCTCTTCAATAAGAATGTAATTAAGTGCTCATTAAACCAGCTTGAATAGGGTCACAAGAGTCTAAGAACGATCCATCTGCATATACACACACAAACACAGCTGAAGAGTCGTGACAGGTAGACCCACGGCGACACAGGTGGTCAGGAAGAATGGATGGATGAATGGATTTGAAAGGAGGAAGATAGAAATGAGGTGACAAAGGTGAAGTATGATGATGAACTTGATGAGAAGAGTGCTTTTTAAATAGGGGTGTGTAGAAAAAAATAGACGTGAATAATTAGAATAATAATTTTTTAAAAAGCACCAACATTAATTTGATTCATTGATTAATATGGAATAAGTTTGTTGATATAAATGCATGATAAAGTCTTATTTCAGTTCATTAGCTGAGCTGTTTCAATGAAATAAAACAGTGGAAAAAAATGTATAAAAATACATAAAATTATGTATTCAAAAAATAAACTATATCAAATGATAAATATAAGAATACAAAAAAAAAATATATATAAATAACAAATTATAAAATGTATTTGAAAATGAATGTAATTTAAGAAAAGTTAAGGGCAATTTTGTTGGTAAACTGTTTGTAATTATTGATGTTGTTGGTGGTTTCCCCCATTTTTTGGAGTGCAAAGTGGTCTGCAGTCTTTGTTGAAGGAGTCCACCACCTGAAAATGTTTGAGAAGCACTTTCCACAGGAAGGAAAATGAGATTTCAGGAATCAAGAAACCCAGCTGAGGGAACCTGGCAGAGACAAATAGAAGGAAAATGAGACAGAGATTGAATGAATAAATAGTAAGAGAGAGATGGGAGGGGAGGAAAAAGACCTAAGGGGAGGAATAAAGAAAGAGCGAATGAGACAAGGGGAAAGATGAATGAGTGTGGGAGAGGAATGGTGTGGGTGTGATAGGCTGTCAAATGAAAGGAGAATTAGAGCGATGTTTAGAGAGGAGAATGAGAACTGAATGAGAGAACTGTCTCTCCCTCTTCCATCATCCTTCCATCCTGGCTCAACAAATATTTGAAATCATGGGGTCATGACCTTTTGCAGAAGCATATGCTTTAAATAAGCATCATATAATAAGCATCATATATAATATCCAATTATAATTGTTATTAGTCATGTTTACAACAGCCAGGATCACAGTTTAATCATAGCTAAGGTGAGTATAAACACAAAGCAATAAACTCAGGCTTGTAGCTGAAGCCACATTGTTTGTGCTGTGGACATTAATAATATCATGCAGCTTATTGTCATTATCACCCACAAACACCCTGGCATAATGGTGGCAAGTTTTGCAGCCAAACAAAACAACTTTACCCTCTTAAAAATAAAGGTTATCACAAGTTATTAATGAACAGCATTGGGGGTAATGCATTACAAGTAACGTAAGCTACGCAAGATAACTTTTTTTAGTAACTAGTAAAGTAACGCATTACTGTGTAATTTAGAAGGAAATATCTGAGTTACTTTTTCAAATAAGTAACGCTACTTACTTTGTTTTGCCATGTACTGATTGACAGCTGTCATGTTGCCATGTTGAGAGAAATCAGGAGCAAGTGCAGAGACGTTGTTTGCGCTCTGTGAACATGATGTTACTGTAGTTCTAGACTAAATATGAACATGTATTTACTCATCTCAACTGCACAAAAACAGAATCAGTATTCCTCAAAATGAATAAAAACCGTCAAATGCAAACTCAGAATATTATACAAACCTGCAATAATTAAATATGTTAAACAACACAAATATTATTTATGCATTTAATACCATTTTATTAACCAATGTCTTTGCTACTGACCTTCGATGATCCAATTCAGCCATACTATGCAAAAATGACACATTTGTGTTTCATTACTGATTATGTTATTGATGAACAGTGTTTAACTTTCTTCACCTGTGTCATATTCTTCATGCAATTTGTTTGAGCTGCGCCCTCTACTGGACAGACGGGAATTTACATTTCCTTCAGCATGAGGCGTATTCATTTCACTTCTGTTGTGAAAGGGCTTTTACATTTGGCTTTTACAATGCCATTGCGCTACGGGCGTCCCGAGTTCGAATCCCGACTCGAGGACTACTTCCCATAAAAAGTAACTAACATAATTAGTTACTTTTTTAGGGAGTAACGCAGTATTGTAATGCATTACTTTTAAAAGTAACTTTCCCCAACACTGTTAATGAAACATGTTGGTTCTACACTCTAGAAGCTACCTTAAAAATGTACTTCATATCAGCGTGATAGCCTTGTGAGCAGCGCGCGCCGACATACAATGCCATTGCGCTACGGGCGTCCCGAGTTCGAATCCCGACTCGAGGACCTTTCTTGGTCCCGCCCCCCCTTAACTCTCTCTCACTTTGCTTCCTGTCAGCTCTGATCTCTCCTATCATAATAAAGGCAAAAATGCCAAAAATAAGTCTTAAAAACATCTACATCATTAATCAGTTTTATTGATTTTAATCAATCTGGCAATATTTTTACGCTGGCAAAATAATTTTATCAGGTAGAGGCGAGTTGATCAGATAAAAGTGAACTTCTTAAAGTAATGATTTTACAGTTTAATTCAAATCTTTTTAATAATATAGGAAATTAAATAAATACATCTAAAAACATTTTCCACCATTTTTCTTTCTAGTCAGCTGTGAAGACAAATACAAAACCACAGCAAATTGAATATATTTTCAACTACACACTTCAACCGTGTGTGTGATTGACAGCTTGCTTATGACAGGTGGAGAGATGTTCGTGTTCATCGTACAGTAAATCTTACAGTTCATCTTTGCTGTCTGGCCGAGCAGTCAAACACTTCTGGAACCGCCTTCAGGCAAAAACTCTTCCGTTTCTTTCACCTGCTCTGGAGAGACACATTTCTTACGCAGATGATTTTACTGCTGATATAAGCATGTTTTTGCTGCATTTCTAAAGATGCAGATCTTAGGGGTCTGGCTGAGTGCAAAATGCTTCATATGTGCAGCTAATGAGTGCAACAGCATGAGTTGTCACACTGTTTGCATTTGATGATGAGACATTG